CCTGGTGAATTTTAGCGGCCCTCACTTCTTGGTGTTCCTCGTCTGTGCATTTATCTGTTCCATTAACTTAACCAAACGCAGCAACGCCAACCTTGTGTTTCCAGGGAAAGCTGCCCGTGCTACTGCTTGGCCGCTCCTCCGAGCTGCGGCCGGGAGAGTTCGTGGTCGCCATCGGAAGCCCGTTTTCCCTTCAAAACACAGTCACCACTGGGATTGTCAGCACCACCCAGCGCGGCGGCAAAGAGCTGGGGCTCCGGAACTCGGACATGGACTACATCCAGACTGATGCCATCATCAATGTGAGCCGGCTGCTGCCGCCCACGGGGGTCGGACGGGGTTTGGGAACCAGGGGTGGAGTCGGGATCCCCAAGGTGCTTCCAAGGGGTTCCCTTTGAACCTTTAAAGCAGAAGAGGCAGAGGGCTTGTCCTCAGCCTATTGGCAATTTCCAGGGACTTCTGTGATGGTCACTTTAGTTTGCCAGAGCCTGCAGCCTGGAGGAGCTCTCCATCCTTCCCCCACCTCAAAGGTCAGCGACCCCTGGTCGGAACTACTTGTGCAGCTTGGTGGCAGGAGGGACACTCACCTTGACACAGGCTCTGTAGCCCCCAGAGGTGTTTGCACTGCTTTGGGGTACAGTCTGAGCACCAGGCCCACCCATTCAACATCTAATGAGGTCAGGGATAATCCTGCACAATCTCATCAACAGAATCTTTTTTTAAGTCACATTTTTCCACTTCAGCTGTTTCCCTGTAGGACTGACATTTCTAAAAAGCATTTCCCCTACATCTGTCCACTAAATAAGAAACAGCGTGTTTTATGCATGTGCCGCCTCTAATAGGCTTTACTCCCAAACTTTCTTGTGATCTGCATGAAGTAATGAAAATAGAACAAGCCTGTGGATTTCCAGTCCCAGCAGCAAAGTAGGGGGTCACATAGGTTAGTGGGGCGGGGAGTCTAGATTTGAAATACTGTGATACGGGAGCAAGTGGGCCAGAGCCTTTTGCCAAGAAAAGATGTGTTGGGTGTTTTAGGGAGTTTGTAGTTGGCCTCTGGGCTTTGAAGCAATATACAAATATATGTGTGTATATATGTGTCATCTCCCATTTATGGCACATCTAAAATTTTCTGAAAGTTGTTAAGGTCCTTTTTTTCCAGCAAAATATTAGGTTGACAGGAACAAATCTCAGGAAAGAACTTGTACTCAGGGACTTGCCAGGCAGGGAAGTAAATTGGACCATGTCATGACGTGAACTCATAACCTTTTAATTTTTGCTTAATTTCAGTATGGAAACTCTGGAGGCCCATTAGTAAACCTGGTAAGGCCTTTAAAAAAGAACTATGCACATGCTTTTTTTTTTTTTTTTTTGTCTTTCGCTTTCTTTCTTTCTTTTTTCGGCTGACATCGTTATTGCTTTTGGGAGGATGGGGGTGCTCAGGAGCTTTTGGTGGGGCGGGTCCGCTTCCTCTTCACCATCACCGGCTTCTGGCTGTGCAGGATGGCTCTAGCTCTGCGGATGGTGGCCGTGCGCAGATCCGCGTGGATCATGTGACGGATGCTGCTGAGGGTGGCCCGAGCATTTTTGTTGGTGGTGGTCCGCACATAGAAAGTGGCTAGCTTTGGCTGGCGGGACCTCCACTTCATCACCACCGAGACACCTTTGCCGTCGGCTGCTGGCTCCACGCCCACCGTCTTGCGGTGAATCAGTCCGTCGTAGTGGAAGGAGTTGCGGGCCTTCAGGTTATTGGGTTCGGGGCTGTACGCCTGCTTACTCCTCTTGATCAAGAAGCTGGAGCAGTTCTGCACGACCGTCCATTGCAGACGCGCAGACATGGCGGCAGCTCCTCTCTTTTCGGCGGCCGGAGACGGTCTTTTGCTTTCTTTTCAAACATGAACTTACCAAAGCACATCATCAAATTCTTTTAAAGTGAAATCTGTGAAATTTAAAGTGAACGTACTGTACCTTGCAAATTACCCTTACCTTTTCTGGAAAGAGTCAGGCCTGCTGGCATTGCGAATTGGAAATGTTATGCCAGTGGAATGCTTGTGTTTCAACATGACAAGTAAATGCAGTGGAATTCAGGTCCAATCCAGGAGAAGCTAAAGGAGCACGTCTTTATTTTGAAGGTGTCAGCAGTCCTGGCCTATCCCCGAAGGCATGTTCCTCAAATAAAGTCTCCAGGCTGTGGAGGGAGCTGGCTCGGCTCATCCACAGTCTTTGTCTTGGCTGGGAGCCCTCCCTTAAGACCTGGCTGGAACGAGGAGTTACCCGGCTCACAAAGATGTCGCCTAAGCTTATATTTAAACACATAAGCACACAAAGGGAAGCCTTGGAATCAGACTGTCAGAGCTGAGATCACCCATCTCAACTCTCCTTTACAGGTGGTAAAATTGAGGCCCTGTTTAGCCAAGCCCAGGATAGCAGTGCCACCTGGATGGTCCCTGGAGCTGGGGGCTGAATTCTCAGTGCTACAGGAAGTGTGGGAGGAGTGACTTACACTCTCCTGGCAGTTTCCCGTTCTAAGCCTGAGCTGAACAAACCTGTAACAATAGTGTTCGGAATAATGGTTGGATGGCGTGAGGCGAGCCTTTTATTCTGGGATCATTTCCTATGGTGTGGCGTTACTCAACTGAGACTTTATCTTGAATCGAAGCACACCGGGTAGATCGGCTTCCTCCACAATTTAAAGCTACTCTGTGACACGCAGAGGAAATGAGACACAATGTGGCCCCTCTGCCTCCTGCCAGCCCCCGCAGTGCCCCTGAGGCTGCTCTGAGATGAGGCTTTGTTGTCCTGGTGATGGAGCGAGTCTGCCCTAAGCACCAAGGCGGTTTCTCCCTGATGTCAGCAGAGGAGTCTTAAGAGCATTAAAAATGGAGAAGCAGGAAGGTGTGGACATCACCTGAAGGACTCTGGGGGTTTTAGAAATGTATTTCTGGTCAAAGGAGCAAATGTGCATTTTGAGATTGTTTGATGCTGCGCTTGCATCCTGGCGATCACCGAGGTCCCAGTCTGAAGTGGGTGTCGGGTCTTCCGTCACTGAGTATGGCTTATGCTGTGCAAGTCAGGCCTTTCCATCTACGACCCAGCAGCCTCCTCCCTCCATTGCGCCCACCCCACCCCACTCTTTCTGGGAAGTAGCTCCGAGACTCCGTTCATGCAAATCCTCCATTCTCTTTGGGTGTGGAGCTTCCAGTCAACCTTCATGGATTCAGTCAGCTGTTTCCATCTTGCTTTTCAGGACGGTGAAGTGATTGGAATTAACACACTGAAAGTGACCGCTGGAATCTCCTTTGCGATCCCATCTGATAAGATTAAAAAGTTCCTAACGGAATCCCACGACCGACAAGCCAAAGGTACAGCAAGGCCCAGGCAGTCCACAGGAGGTTTAGGCCTGGGGCTGGGCTGCCCCTTGGGGACTTGGGGCAGGGCCAAGGGCACACTTGAAGGTCAGCCACACTTTTCCTATCAAGAAGGAAAGGAATGCACACTGTAAGCCCCTGGTATTAGGTCATAGATGTTTGACAATTTTTGACCTACAGTCGTGACTGTTTTTTAGGGTTTGACCTAACAGGTACGGGGCATGAACCTAGGTGATTTCTGTACATCATTTTACTGCATTATTGGTTATGTCATTTAATTCCTTTGCCCAGTCAGGTGGGAATTATTAATCCCATTTTCCTGATGAGAAAACTGAGATCCTTCATTCCGCAAATGCTTATTGACCTGTCTGCTCGAGGTCAGGTTGGGGGTTCAGGGCTCATCAGGTTCCCTTGCAGGCGTGATGTTTACCTTCTGCATGGAGGAGGGAGGAGGCAGGCAGGGGGCCCAGTCAGGATTCGAATCACAACCTGAGTGCCTCCCCTGATGGCCCTGACCTTATGCTCCAAACAAGGGGGTTGGACCCCATGGCTCCTGGTGCCCCGGGCACAGCCACCAACTGGGCTGACCTTCTTTTGTCTTTTTTTTTTGTCACACCAGGCAAAGCCATCACCAAGAAGAAGTATATTGGCATCCGAATGATGTCTCTCACATCCAGGTGGGTCCCAGGACCTCCATGTCTGTCTGTGTCTTAAATTTAAAACAAACGTGAACTTCAGAAGACTCTCACTGGCACCCCTGGAAGGGAAATCTTACTTTGCCTCCAGACAGCTCAGTTTCTGGTTAAAATCAAGTACCATCAGGAAAGAGAGGAGGGGCCATTAGCTTTGGCCTCTGGTTTTATCTTTTGTGTTTGTTTGGGGGTTCTGAGTGGGTCCTTCCTTCTGGAAGATTCTGCTCTCCTCTTCGAAGGCAGGCTGGGATGCTGGGCAGTCTCCCTCCTGCTTTCCTTTCATCACTTGTTCTGTTGAAACCACATTCCGGGAGTGCCCCCAGCGCCTCCCTCAGCCCCAGAGCGCCCTGCCTTTCCTGAGCTCTGCCGCCTGTGGGCTGTGCTCCTGGAATGCCGGTCAGACTCAGCATGACTGATGGCTTGTTTTCCTGAGCTGATGGAAGTTGTAGTGTGTGGCTGCCAAGCTTATAGCACTGGTGTTTTAACCTTGGTGGAAAAATCTGGTGTAATCGCAGGAGTCCTGAGACCTAAGGACCTGCTTGAAACTGTGGTAGGTAAAGCTGGCAAAGAGCAGAATGTGTTAATATAGAATTAATATCTTAATTATTATAATTAATTACCTATTAATTAATTGTGAACATAGGACTGTAGTTCAGATACATATGGTGGTGCCTTTCTTAGCACTCCAGAATGTGGGCTGATTTGCCAAGACGGCACTGTGAATCAGGTCTTGTCCTGGAACTCTGGTCTGGAGACGGAGGCATAGGGAGGGAATACAGGCCCCAGGATCCAGCTCCCTGGGTCCTCATCCCAGATCTGCTACTCCCTGGCTTGTGACCTCGGGATGACCTGACCCCTGAGTGCCTCAGTTTCCTCCAGGTGAGGGTAACAGTGCAGGCGTCTTGGTGTGTGGTGAGGATTGAGAGATCTCATGCGTGTCAGAACTCGGATGAATGGGTGGTGGCCGTGATCACTAGTGGTCATGGTGATAACACCCCTTACTAATCACGTGATTGCTCTGTGCCTGGCATCGGGCCAGGTCCTGGACCTAAATAATCTCATCTAATCTTCACGACAACCCCATGTCATTATCCCTGTTTTGCAAGTGAGAAAAACAGGGCACAGAGAGGTTAAGCAACTGCCCAAGATCACACAGTGGGAAAGAGGCAGGGCTGGTGTTCCAAAGCAGGCCAGCTGCTATATTGTACTGACTCCTTAAGCTACTATCAATTAATTAGTAATAATAATGATAAGACAGTTCCCTTGCTGTTACCTAGTAAATCTGTGACACTAGTCAACAGGCAATTTAAAACGGAATTAAAACCCTTGAGGGATTTTACCTTAGAATCAGGGAGAGGAGGAGAAGCCAGGCAGGAGCCCCGTCTCAGCAGTGGAAGGGCTGTTACTTAATGTTAACACGAGTGCTTTTTCTCCTGAGCAGCAAAGCCAAAGAGCTGAAGGACCGCCACCGAGACTTCCCAGATGTGCTTTCAGGAGCGTATATCATTGAAGTAATTCCTGACACCCCCGCAGAAGCGTGAGTTCACCGTTTTTCCCCCCTTTCCCAATATCCCTGTGTTTCCTGGAGGCAGTGGGGTGAGAGGGTGGTTCTCTTCGTATCAGCTCAGGTGACGGTGAGAATCCTTGACGAAGTGGTCAGACATCCTTGGTCAGTCCTGCTGGTCAGGCCTTCCGACCTGGTTCAGCTTAGGACTCATCAGCAAAAGGGTGCTTCCTTTCTGCAGAAGTCCTCTTCATGAGCGGGTATCAGATGGAAAGAGTGAAATCGGACTTGTTATGAGTCTCCACGATGGGCCTGGCTGGGGAAGGAGGGTTTAAGGAGAAGTGTCCCTGAGACCTTTGACAGTGATCCCACGCTAAGCTTCTGGAGGCATCTCCTCCTGAAGCCTTCTCTAATTGTCTGTTATCAGTCAGGCCATGCTTGTCCACACCCCTCAAAAAGTAACCCAGGGAACATCAAAATACGTGAAAAGAAGTAGCTCAACTCACAGTCAGGGTTTGTTGCCTGGATTCACGCAAAGAGAGGAGTGCCAGACCAAGGAGGGGCCAGCTGACTGTTTCCAGCCATTTACAGAAAAGGTTTGCTGACCCCTGTGCTAGACCATTACGGACCAAAACAGCTTTTTTGATGCTGTCATACAGAAGAGCTAAAGTTACAGCAACAAGAACACAAAGCAGGTGTCTCACAGTAGAACCATCAGGCCATCCCTGTGGGAGCTGCTCTGAGTGGTGATACCCATCGCAAGCAAGTTGGCCACCGTCATTGTAGCTGGTGGAGGCTTATATCCTCACCCACTTTGGGGTCATTCTGTGATAAGGTCACGCTAGTGTTGGTAGGCATTTCTGCAATGGACATGATTGATGATTTGGCCCGAAAGCCTCAAAAGGAAATAATGCGACCCACTGGCGGTTTAAGCCATTCTCACATAAGCTAACTGCCACCCCACCCTGTTTGCTCTGAGTTTTTAGGTTGTACACTGTGTCCCCATTGATGTTAAAGCTGATCCGCTCTCATGGAGTTAGACCAGGAGGAATGGGAACATTATGATTGTGTTTCCCTTTGTGTTGCAGGGGTGGGCTCAAGGAAAATGATGTCATAATCAGCATCAATGGACAGTCGGTGGTCTCTGCCAATGACGTCAGTGACGTCATTAAGAAGGAAAGCACCCTCAACATGGTTGTCCGCAGGGGCAATGAAGACATTATGATCACCGTGATTCCCGAAGAAATTGACCCGTAGGCAGAGGCATGAGCTGGACTTCATGTTTCCCTCAAAGACTCTCCAGGGGACGCTGCACGATGACTCTGGGCTGGTGGCACCGGGTGCCCAAGACTTTTGACCGCCATGTTGCTTGTTCAGCAGAAACACTCTGGCCAACGAATCCTTCTTGATAGTTCGCAGGCAAAGCAAATGTAATGTTGTAGCCCCGCAGACAGAAGCTCGCCCTTCTGTATCCTATGTACGCAGTGTGCTTTTTCTTGCCAGCTTGGACTGTTCCTGCTTGGACAGTCAGCATTTGTCTCCTTTAACTGAGTCGTCATCTTAGTCCAACTAAGGCTGTTGCTATAACGTGTAGATGAGAGGACGGTCCCATGGGAGCCAG